CATTAGTGATGGCTTTTTTAAAAAAATTCACTTTTTTGAAGTGTAACTGACAATGAGTGCTGTGCATATTTAATGTATACAACTTGATGAATTTGGAAATAAGTATACACCTGTGAAACCACTGCCATCAATCAATGAAATAAACATATCCATTACCTCCCAAAGTTTCCCCTTGCCCTCTTAATTAAGCGTGTGTGTGTGTGTGTGTGTATGTGTGTGTGTAAGACCATCAGGGAGGTCAATAGGTCTGAAGAATCAGAAAAGTAATGGAGTAAAGGAAAAATCACGTAAGATGTTAGGACTGTGACTTTTACTGTGGCATGAGAAATGACTGGACAGTTTTGAACAGAAAGGTGACATGATTTAACTTACATGTAACCCATTACTGATGTCTGTGATGAGTAGCCTGCAGGGAGTATGGTGAGTGGGAGGGAAGGGTGCAACCCCGTGAATTGGGGCAATCTGTGATGCAGGTGGAGGTGGCTGTGGCTAGAACAAATGGTAGCAGTTGTGAATAGCAGTGGGTGAGTTCTTTACATATTTTAAAGTAAACTAATGGGATGTGCTGCTGATTTGGTTTAGGTTATAAGAAAAAGAAAGGATTTAAAGATTACCAAGAGGTTTGAGGCAGAACAACTCGAAAATTGAAGTTGCCATGAACTCAGGTGGGAAAGCATGTTTACGGGTCGGTGGCTGGACATATTTAACACATTCAGTTTGAGCTGCTTCTTACACATTCAAGTAGAGAATTCAAGTCAGGAGCTGGACATGGGAATTTAAATTTCAGGGGGAACGGTCATGCTGGTGATATGAATTTGGGAATCATCAGTATATAGATGATAGCTAAAGACCTAGGTCTGGATAAGACTAGGAGATGGGTATAAATAGGAAAGATCATAAAAGAGAAGATACCCAAGTTCAAGACCTCATAAGAGATGGGGAAGATGAGGAAGGACTACCAAGAACACTGAGAACCAGCCGGGAAGGCAGGAGAAATACCCGGCAATAATTCCTCCTTTTGCTTTTCCATTCCCCGATACGGAGGGGCTGTACATGTTAGCAGTTATAGCGTAGTCCTGGAAAATACTGTGGCGTGGATGTTGTTTAGTTCAACTGCATTTGAAGATGCTGAGAAATGGACCATATGCCATCCATTGATATTTTTCTTTGATTTGAATTAAGACTTCCTGGCTACAGGAAGTAAAAATATATCATACACTAAAAATATATCACGCTGAAAAATGGACACACGGAATACTTTGTGTGTTTTTCACAGCTTTCTGTGACATTTTAACTAAGTGTGGAGGATATTGTTCTTCTTTTCATGACACTTGGTATGGCTAATGCTGAATGTGTGGGGGTTACAGTCATGCCATGTGACAGATTGTGGTGTCACAGGCACACTGCAGGGATGAGCAGAAGGAGATGTGGCTATGAGAGATCCACTATTGATTCAACTGCAAACAGTGCGGTAGAGTGGAAATGTGAATTTAAAAATTTACTCGTCAAAATAAAGCTTCCCTTCAGGTTCTTTTTCACCATTACCTCAAAATATGCATCTCCACCACTATTGGAACAGTCAGTTATATTTGCAAAAAACACCCTATTCATGTTATTTGGTGTGAAAACATAATTCAACAAAGATTAACTTTTAGTTTGGGAAAACACAATTTTCTTGGGAAATCAAGTAATGATAGCTGTGAGGAAAAAGAAAGTCTAAGGAAAAGAACTCAAGAGCATAGATGGCTTACATCAAACTGGATTTAGACTTTGGAACCCAGATGCATTTGACTGGGCAAAAACACCCCGTGGGACAATAGCCTTAGTGTGGCCCTTGGTGGGGTTTTGCCCTGCTTGTGCCTTGGGAGGCATTGAGCTCTTTTCTTTGAGCAATAGCACCTTCTCCCGAGACAGAACAAGAAAGGCAAAAAAATAAAAATAAATAAAAGGGCAAACATCAAATGTCTAAGTTCTTTCAATGGCATATATCACTAGTCTTTTTAACATTTTAAAATGTTATCTTTACTTCTTTACTTTTCAATTTAGAGACAGGGTCTCACTCTGTTGCTTGGGCTGGAGTACACTGGCACCATCATCATTCACTACAGCTCACATGGGGTTGACATGATCCTCCTGCCTCAGCCTCCTGAGTAGCTGGAACTATAGACAGATAGTTTACAAATCACTGCGCCTGGCTTATTTAAATAAAAATAAAAATGTAGAGATAGGTCTTGCTAAGCAGCCGAGGCAGGTCTTGAAGTCCTTGCTTCAAACAGTTGTCCTGCCTCAGCCTCCCAAAGTGCTGGGATTGCAGGCATGAGCCACTGCAGCTAGCCTTGTCTGAGTAGTCTTAAGAAAAAAAAAGCATGTTTTGATAGAGGAAGTGCAAACTTTTAACTGAGTTTACAGAGATATTGTGAAGTTACTTGCACTTGCTTTCTCTGGCCCCTACTCTGTACTTGGCAGCCTGCAGACACAAACTAAGGGAGCAGGTGACTTCACTTAGATGCAGTGGGAAGTGCCTCTCTCTCTCTCTGCCGTTCTTTCCCTCTTCCTGTCTCTTTCTCTGTCTGTCTGTCCATAAGGCTGTTGCTGTGTCTCTCTGACTCTGTTCTTTCTTTCTCCCACAATCTTTTCTCATCTTTCCCCTACAAGTAAAATTATCAACTTTATTATTAACTGATTTCTTTTTCTAGATGAGATTTTGGATAGAAATGCATAATATAAAACAAATTATATTACTTGCTTCTCAGGTGGGGTAAAAGTACATATTGTAGGCCTCATTTCATATTATTCAAGGGGAAAATATCCCATCTGATCGATTTCTGTTTTGTGCAGTAATAGTTTGTTCTAGGTAATGTGCATGGGATGTTTGAATTCTAAGGTTTCGGTGTATCAGTCTGTGAGATAAAGGATAGTAGCAAGAACCTCCAAACCTACATTTAAAAAATTCACTTACATGAGTTTATGAAGAAGAAAATTTTTCATCTTCTTCCTAGATATTGCTCTTGAGAAATATTAAATAAAATAATAACAAAAATTGAGCTAGACTGGTTACAGCCTCCCCCTCTTACACAAATAGCATGCTATAAAAGAAAGTCAAGATTTATTTAGCCTCAGATGCACTCTTTCAAGCAAAAAAAAAAAAAAAAAAAGAATTAATAGCAAATTATAGGAATTAGCAAGGACCTCAGGCTAACTGCATGGAACCACTTTCTTTTCCGTTCCTTTTGTTTTAAAAAATATTTATCTTAATCCTTTGAACTCCATGATAAAATTAGATCAATGACAGGTGATAGAGTTTAATGATGTGGTCAAAACATCCTAAGGAAATAAAAAGTCAAAAATAATTCAACTTGTGCTCAAGATTTATGGCTACTGACTTTGTGGCATTGAAGGAAAGCCCATTAAGCATTTACTGCACCTCTTTATCTCCCTGAAGGAAAATAAAGTATTTATCTCTCTGTACCATGATTAGAGAATTGTCACCTTTGAAAAACAATGTCTTGTGTTCCCAAAGCAGCAACATAGCAAGAAAATCACAGAGCAGCTCCCTCTGAACTCCTTGGGAATCACGTTTGGTGATCATGCCTTTACTGAGTATTTCCTGTAAATATGCAGAGGTGCACGTTTCTTGAATGCCGATGGTGCCAGACACTGAACTGCACACTTGCCTTACGTTCAGCATTCAATAACCTCACGATATGTTTTATGCCATCATTTACCAGATGACCCCAGTTTCAGAAAATTTAAATGATTTCTTGGATATTATGGTTTGAAAAGCTGTAGAGCCAGGATTTGAACCTAGACTCATTCAACCATGATAAAATATTTAATGTCTAAAATTATTTATATACATCATTTATGTGTGTGTGTGTGTGTGTGTGTGCAGTCATTGCAAGCCAATCAAGGGAGTAGAAGAGAGTATTGTTCTTTTGTCCTACTGAAAGGAAGTGATGTTACACTTTCTGAGTTATGTCCTTAATGAAAAATGAGAAAAAATGGTTTTCTTCTCTCATTGTCCAAACCTATGGACTGAAATGCAGCTATGCTATTGAGTAATTTTCTACTACACATAGGAGGGCAATTCTTAGGGATAGGAGAGGAACAAAATTAAAAGATTTCAAGCCTTTAATCCAACTTCAGAGGCCTGGAGTCTTATTGAAAATATTCCAGAAAATTTATTTTGGATTTTCATTATATTGGACTACAGCATATTCTACCTAATATAAAATTGAAGACAGATTAAACATGAATTATCTAAACTATAGTTAAGGGGCTAGAAAAATAATAGAGTAAAACTGAAAAAGTGGGAATAAATAATGAGTGTTAGTTATCTACAAATATGTAAATTAACAAAAGTTACTTATCTGTAAATGAAAACCTAAATAAATCTATAACAATTAAAGATATTTGATCATTACCGAAAAAAATCTACATACAAGAAAACCAACAGGTCTATATGTTTTAACTGTTGTGTTTTAGGAAGTTATCAAGAAATAGATAACACTCTTCTTATAAAAGTTCCCCAGGATTTACGAAAAATGTTAAAGTTTGTCTACTAATTTTATGAAGCCAGTATGAGATTGCTAATGATGCTGGAAATATAACAGAGCCAGGAAAATTATTGGCCCTTATCATTTAGGAAATAGATGCCAAAATCACACAAAGATAGTAAACTAATTAATACTGTGTGTGCAGGTGTGTGCAAGGTAAAGCAATCTCATAACTAAATATGGTTTATTCTGAGAGTATTAAGAGGATATAAAATTAGAAAACACATTAATGTAATACAGCAAATTGACCATATAAAAACATTATGTCAATGAATGCAGCAGCCATTTCATAAAATTCAAAATTCAACATGTGAAAGAAAAAATGAACAAAAGTAGTAATAGAAAGTAAATTTCCTAATCTGATTACCACTAAAAAGCAAGCAAATACAGTGTTGGTGAAATGTTAGAAGCACTTTCTACCTTAGTTATTTCCCCACATATCTGCCTTAAAGCGTAAGTCTAGTCAAATGAATATAAGTACAAGTTCTATGTTGCAGCTTCCAAGAGACTTCCATAATGCATACCTGGCTCATGATCTTGTTCTTTCTTCTTCTATTCTTCTTTCTCCTTGTTGCTGCTGATGTGAAGGATTCTGTGAACCAAGGGATGCCCGGGTGGAAAAGGAGCGAGTCTTTTACAACATATGGCACCATATCAGTCCCAAATTGATGGCTTTCACTCTTCTTGAAATGTAAGAAAGAAAGAAACTTCCACTTCATTTAAGCTGCTGTTACCATGATTGCGTCCTCTCAACACTGTACTAAAAGGCATTAGCAAATGTAACGAGAGAAGAAAAAAATGAGGTGGAAACTATGAATAAATAAATAAATTTTTGAGAATTATATGATTATATACCTAGAAAATCACATAGGCTTATATTACAACATCAGCTAGCTACAATTTCACATCCATATAATTTTCAGAAATTAAAAGATCTGATAATACCAAGTGTTCATAAAGCAATGGATAAATACAATCCCTTTTACGTTGTTGGTAGAAGTATAAAATTTTTAAAAACTATTTTAGGACAATGTGTAGTTAGAATTATTTTGATTATAGGCAACAAGAACCTTATATGAAACTGACTTTAATTAAAATGGAAATCTACTGTCACCTGATTCTAGAGGTTAGATGAAAATCAGTGTTATAACGAGCAGGGGCTCTACAAGTCTTCAGGAATCCAGTCCTTTCTAATTCTCATTCTGCCATTCTTAATACATCAGCTTAGATCACAGATTGCCCTTCTTCTTGGTGTTAGCAACATGGATCTTATCCAGACAGAAAATATCCAGAAGAATAAAAAATCCCTATCTTCCTGTGGTACAGGAGTAAGGAAACCATTTCCAGATCTATCTTTGGTGAGCAATGGTTATGTGACTATTCTCAAATCAAATACTGGCAAAGAGAACAGATTAACATATTAATGGGAACAAGATTTTTAGCAGGTAAAATTGAGAGACTAATTCATTAAGAAGTAAAAGGATAAAGTTGTATATTATAACGTTACCAAAACATGCTATACAATAATACCAGTAAGAGTACAAGGTAACATTTACTGAGGTATTACTATGCGCCAGGCACTTTCCTAAGCACTTGCCCAATGGGTATTCATTTTTCCATGCAAAGCCCAGGGGGGTTAGACATTTAGACATTTAACATTTAAAATGAGACAGCAATTTCATTCTATTTCAAATGCATAAGACTAACAAAAATTAAGATGTCTAAAATAAATGTTGGAAAATATATGTGTGTGCATGTATATACACTTACATATGACTATATACATATATGAAATAACGACCTCATATACTACTTATAAAAGTTTAATGTTTCAGATAAAAGGGATTCAAACATGAAGAAGTTAAATTACTCACCCAAAGTCACAAAACTAGTGAATGGCAGAGATAGAATCTGACCCAAATAGTCCATAAATAGTTAAAATAAAAAGCTAGATCCATATGTATCAATGTAAGAAATATGAAAAATATAATCTTGAGTAGATGGTAGCCCTTCACCAGAAAAGGAAATGTATGAAAAGAGCATGTTTGTCAAGGGGAAGAGGATTGTTATGAGTTCATTTGGGGGTAGGTTTTATTAAGGATATAGATCATTGGGGGCAATGCCCCAAATTCATATATGCAACTATCCAGGAGGCAACCAGATACAAAGATTCTAAAAAATGTATTTGTATCTGGAGAGTTGAGTGTTATCATACAGTGGTTGAAATTGTGAAAGTAGATTTAAAGTGAAAAGAGAGAAGTAGGAAATAAACAGCCTTGACATTCAGGGTGAAATAAAACAGAAAAGGGGCCTATGAAAGAATGTGAGAGTGGTTGCAGATGAGATTGTTATCTCAGATAATAACTAAGGGGTGAGATTTATAAAGATTATGGCTAATAACGCCAAATGTTGCAGAGAGTAGTGAAAACACTTGGCAATTAGTGTATCAGTAAAGACCTTGCTGAAACCAGTTTCAAATGCAGTTACAGTTACAAACCTGCATCAGTGCCTTAGAAGTCCATACAGTATGAATAGGAGAGTATGTGAGATGCAGACTGTTTTTCAGAGAAGCATGATTGATGAAGGAAAAAATGAAGATTAGAGTATTAGTTAGAGGAAATGAAGAGTTCTATACATGGTAATATTTTCAGTTTGCATGAAACAGTCAGTAGAGAAAGATATTTAAAATATCGGCAGCATGAGAAAGAGTAGGACTTACTATAGGAGCAACATCTGGGAGAAGATGGGAAGCAGTAGATCAGGCACACAGGTGGAGAACTTAGCCTTGAACATGAGAAGGAATGAGGAAGAGAACAAGGGATCTCCCAGATGAGAGGGGAGACAGATGGAACAAAGAAAGGAGAGCAATGAGTTTTCTCCTGCTGTGTTTTCAATTGGCTTTCCCAGAAGGAATACTTGGCCAGAAAAACAGGAAACAGACAGGTGGTCTAAGGTCTGTAGGGTAAAGCTAATATATAGCTGCTTGATTATTCAGTCAAATTTTAGGACCAAAAAAGAAAAAGGAGTAGATTAAAAGCAATTGATGAAAATTTATGAATCACATCAGTTGTCCAGACACAAGTCTGACCTAAATCTTTCCCTCCCTTAGCGAATGGATCTGGAGTACTGCCTGCATGGAGACCATTCTCAGCATCAACAAACTAGACCAGGGAAGAGTGAAAGGAAAGTCCCCTAGGATGTCAGTACCAAAAGCCAGATAATGATCATCTACACAAACCCTCTTTCACAGAGGAGAAATGTAAATCTCACTAGGGTACACAACAGCCCACTATCACTGAATTATGGGTTGGTGATGACCCTGTGCTTCCTTTTTATCCCTTTAGCACCTATGAACATCTAACACATTCTTTATGTTGCTTCTTTAATTTGTTTATTACTTACCGCCTCCCATGAGAATGTGATCACCCTTGGAAGAATTTTTGTCTCTTTTGCTTACTGCTGTTAACTTAGCCTTCAAAGTATGCCTGGCATTTAGAAGGCAGTTGACCATTTTTTCTTTTTTTTTTTGCTGAATGGATGAATTGCATCTACTCCAGTATACTTTTTACTTCCTTATTATACTTTTCATGGAGAGCTCTTCGAAGTGAAGTTGATAGTTGTAAAAATGACCTCCATGCAAATACATTTCTCATAAATCCTGCTTCCTTGTTGGGTACATAAAACTCCAGGTCGTGCAAAATTCAAATCCAGGGCTGTGGCTTCAGAGTCAAATATTTAATAAATTCAACCCATGCAGTTAGTTTTTCCTGAAAAGATAAGTGAAGAAATTTTTGTGACAATAACAAAACAATGACACATTTTTTTAAAAAGAAGGAACAGTAAAAAAGAATGAAAATGGAATCAGTATTACAGAAAAACTACAGCGTTTACACAGCCATGAGCTTCCTAGTGTATTTTTCATACATCTACATTTATCTCTTTACCACACTGTTACATCTGTGTCCAAGTCTATAACATCCAAGAGAAATACAGTGGAAGGAATTCATTGGGCCTGTTGCTAGGAAAGTGTTAAGAAAATTGCAACTTCTTATGACCCTTCATCTGCTGTAGGAAATTCTCTATTTTTCTCTTTTTGTGTGAAAAGAGATGAAGACAAAAGACTGTGGAGCTGGCAGCTACTATGAAGAGTTGGTAGTTCCAAGGTGAATTACAGAGGCTTTTCCTACTCTCTCTGAAGTGCCATCCATTTTTTTTAGGACTCATTTCCAGGGAAGGGAAGGAACAACACACTGTATGAGGACATGTCCATTGCCGGGGAACCAGGTACAACCATAGAAGCAGCTTACATAACAAAGGGTTTGTTTGTGGAATTAGGTAAGGGAACCAAGCTTTATATTTGTGAGAGATACAACTGAGCACTTAAAGATTCACATTGCCAGGGACTTTCCAATATCATTTTGAAACCCAGATCCTTAATGGCAAATGTATAGATTAGTAGTGTGTGTGAGAAATTTTATATATGTAATAGGATGTCAAATAGGACACTGTATTTCTAAAATTCCTGCTATGATCCAAAACCCAGAACGAATGTATCTTATGTTCTATGTTTGGAGACCCCACCACCTTCCTAGCAAGGATTAGGGATAAGAACTTGTTTAGAAAATGTGTATCCACCAACTCCTTCCACTTGCCAGCATCATCCCTATCGAAGCAAGAGGAAGTCTGATTGGGGAAAGAGGCATTAAGATTTGGGGAGACAGTAGAGTCTGGGCATGAAATGAAAGCACTGCTTTTCCCTTTTTAATGCAAAGTGAAACCTCTAAGAGAATCACATAAAGATTGGCAGAGCCTGCAAGGGGAACCTGGCTAAATGTGTGCTGAGCAGTAGAATGCAAAGCTTCTCTTTTGTGCCATCATTGATGCTGAGTACAGTCATAAAGAGTGGGTTCTGGAAGAGCATCTGAGAGTCCAAAGTGTAGAACTTTATCCTTTTCAGGATTCTTCTTCCACCAGGAGGAAGAACTGTGTCTCTGAAGTTTGGGAAGTACACAAAGCCATGGAGTCTGGCCTTGAGCTTTCTGTAGTAGAAAGGCCCATGTCAGTAGCCCTTAAAGGGACACGGTGAGGTGTACTTGGGCAAAGATGGTAGTAACCCTACTCCTCCCAATTTTCCACAATACACCACAGTGAAAGAGAGGACCCCAGTGGTTTCCATAGCTGCACAGAAAAATCATGGAAGGTAGCAGAAGGAGATGGGCCCTGGAGCTGTCAGGTGGCTGCCAGTCCAATCTTTTAAGGTTCAATTTAGGGAAAAGGTAATGATGCCCAATCTGCTATAAAAGGAAAACTACTCTCTGGGGGTACCTGTAAGTATCTGGGCAAGAGCAAGCTGATATAACATCAGAGAAAATGTTATGTCTCCCATATGACATGAAGGGAAATATTCATTTTCTTCTCCAGCCCTAATCAGCAAGTATCCCAATTTTATTACTTTCTTTTCATCAAAATAAGAGAAGGATTAGACTTTCTTTCTTGTTATCATAGTTGGGAAAAGATGCAGAACTCAGAAGAAAATAGCCAGAGAGTTCCAAACGCCTAAGGAAGGGAGAGATTAAGTAGAGTTCGGAGATCAACAAAAAAGAATAAGGAATTCTCAGAGTACTAAGTAATTAATGGTAGAAATCTTTTACTTTAATTTTTTGGATAAAATAAACCTCTTAAGCAGCACTGTTGAATAAAGGCTTGGTACATAAGCAGAGAATCAGGATTGTCTATAAATAATAACAAAGACTCAGATATAAGCAAGCAGCAACTCACAGCAGATATGTGTGGGAAAATCATGGTGTAGGAAACCAAATAGAGTTAGGAGAATTTGGATAATGCATGAAGAAAAATCAGGCTAGGACCTTTGGCACATTGTGTTTTCCAAGGATGGACACCTCAATATACTCCATTCCCCATGCTCCATTTACACCGGCATTGACCATCCTGCCATCAAGTAGTGGGATCTCGGTCCCCAGCACCCACCTCCCCCGGGACCCAGGCAGACCTTTGTGACTGCTTAGCTCAACAGGATACAGTAGAAGTAATGCTTTGTAACTTCCAAGGCTAGGTTATAAAAAATCCTGTTCAACCTTGCTCTTTCAGGACACTTGCTCTGTAACCCCTGATAACTTGATGTGAAGAGGCCAAGAAGTAGCCTATGGAGATGCCCACAAAACTCAAGTAGAAAGAAACTGAGGGCCCTGGACCTCAGCTTTCACTGAGCTCCAGTTGACATCATCAAATAACCAGCCATGTGAGTGTGCCATACTGGGAGGGAATTACCCAGTGTCTAATCGAGCTACTGTCACATGGAACAAAGAGCCTTCCCCTTTGATCCCTGCCCAGATTGCTACTCTGCACCAAATAAGTGGTGGCTGTTATCTTAAGCCACTAGTTTTTCAGATTCTTTTTTGGTGCAGGGTGGAGGTTGGTGTTACATAGCAATCAATTACCAGAATAGAACCAAAAATGGATTGTTTACTTAGCCAGAGTTACCTTAAAGATTTCTGCAGTTCCTTTGGTACAAGAAATTGAACATTTTATTAGTACTACATTTTGTATTATGTGAGTTTTCTGTATGTTACCTCCTTAACAAAGTATGTGTAGAGCATTTTCACTTCATTGTGTAGTTCAGGTCATCTCATTAATCCTCTCGGTAGTCTTATTACATTTTGAATTGAAGCTTTAGTTCACCATATGAAATGGTCAACTTCGAATAACAACAGTGGCTGAGAACTTGTTCAAAAGTAGTATGGCATGTGAGCAACAATTTTTACAAAATTCTGATTTGCCTGGGCTATGTTTTGACTAAATGAGTGGCATACAAAAGTTGTAAGAATTGATATGTGGTCGAAATAGCACTGCCTAAAATTTCTCTCCCAAAGCAGAGTGGTACATTTACCAGAAGTATAATCCAGATCCTTCGTGTAATAATAGCTAGTAGAGGATGCATTAAGTGTGTCTATGTAACACATGCATAGAACACACGTTATTCATTTACCAGCAGGTCAGAAAAGAATTATTGAATGCCATTTTGGTCCAGGATAGAACTAGACCTAAGCAGAGAACAAAACACAGTGGTACCTGATGAGACACTCACATGATAAACGAATACTTACAGCTCAGCATGTTGAGAAGTATACAAAAAGATAAAACTGGTAAACAGGATAGCATGTCAAGTTAGGGTGATGGTGGGTAGGCAAGGTTGCTATTTCATATCAGGTGTTCAGGGAAAACCTCTCTGGTATGGTAAACTTTGAACTAACATCTTCTGGAAGGAAGAGAAAATGAGGTAGCTACTTAGGAGAAGGACGTTTCAGGTAAGGGGAACTGCAAGTGTAAATATCAAGAGTAATGTCAGTGTGTTGGAGGGACAGCAAAGACATCAATGTGGCTGATTAAGGATAAGAAACACAAAGACATCAGCGTGTCTTTGAAGGATAAAAGTACTGAAAGCAGGAGGCAGATCACGTACACATGCAGACTATTGTAGAGGCTGTTGAAGAGATTTTAGCTTTTATTGAGTAATTATAAATATTCAAATGTCATGGACTGAATGTTTGTGTATCTTCAGATTTATATGTTGAACTCCTGTATTAGTCTGTTTTTATGCTGCTTTGAAGAAATACCTGAGATTGGGTAATTTATAAAGAAAAGAGGGTTAATTGACTTACAGTTCTGTATGAACTGTACGCCTGGGGAGCCCTCAGGAAACTAACAATCATGGTCGAAGGCACCTCTTCACAGGGCAGCAGGGGAGAAAATGCGTGTCAGCAGAGGAAATGCCAAAGGCTTATGAAACCATTGGATGTCGTGAGAACTCTCTATCATGACAACAGATGGGGGAAACCGTCCCCATGATCCAGTTACCTCCCACTAGATGCCTCTCACAGTACATAGGGATTATTACAATTCAAGTTTAGATTTGGATGGGGACACGGAGCCAGACCACATCAACCCCTAACTCCCAATATGATGTTATTTGGAGATGAGGCTTTTGGAAGGTAATTTGAGTTAGATTAGATCATGAAAGTGGACATCTTATGACAGGACTAGAGAAGGAGACCAGAGCTCATCTCTGTGGCAGTCACTGAGGAAAGGCCACAAGAGGACGCAGCAAGACAGCAGCCATCTACAAGTCAGAAAGAGAGCCCTCTCCAGTATCGAATCCTGCTGGCGCCCTGTTCATGCACTTCCAACCTCCAGAACTACAAGAAATTAAATATTTGTTGTGTAATCCCCCAGACTGTGGTATTTTGTTATGGCAGCCCAAGCTGACTAAGACAATATAGCCATAGCCACTCTGATATACAGTATAATTGCAATGTCAATCAGCTTTAATTCAACATTGAAATATTATTTTTTAAAATACCCTTTTTGTCTCCTCTGATTTTCTCAGTCCACTACTAGCTTCCTGGTAACAAAACTATTAATTGCACAGTTCATTGCCTGAAATTTCTTAATAGTCAGTTTCAGTTACAGCAACTTTTCCAGTTATATTTCTAATATCCTATATTTGTGAAAATCTGAGCAAAAACACGAGCTTTGGGAGGTGTGCCTCTCACTGCTAATTGGAATGTCTTCTATTAAAGTCTTTTGCAAGTTGCGTCACAAAAATTAAAATGAAAAGTCTTCTCTAATACGCATATTACAATTTTATTGTTAGGGATTTTACAGATTGCCCTGGCAGATTCTCACTCATTATGTAGAAATCATTTTGTCTATAGTTACTTATTTGTTTAGTTATTAATTATTTTTTTTCTCTTAACATTCAGTGTTTCTCTTGCTTAAAATGGGTGGGGTTTTGTGACTACTGCTGAGTTCATTTTTTCTGTTTCTGGCTTGCAAGGAACGGTGTTGCTTTCAAGGATGCTGAGACTCACTTCCCTTTTTAGAGCCCTCATACCTTCACCTTCTCAGCTTTTCTCTGTTGCTTGGGCCACTTCTTCCTGGCTTGTCACTGCTTTTGCTTCTTCTCCTACTCCTTCTTCTTTTTCATTTTGCATGCCCAACGTTTGTATTCAGGCTGTTTGGCTCAGACTTTTTTCTGGGATTTTTATCAACTTTCTGTAACACAGGAGGGGCTGTTTATTGTGTCTCAATCAAAACTGTTTTGTTTTTTTTTTTTTTCCTTAGGAGGGAAATGTAATTGTCTTCCTATCTCCAGAAAAGAAACAGGCAAGAAACAGATAACCCAGCAACCCCTCGCTCTGGGGCTTCCTACTCCAGTCCTACA